GCTTTAGGCATTTTATGACACATTATGTTGTCACGATGGCTGGTAATTGGGATGCTGTAGTTGTCTGAAAATGATGCAAATTGAGGCACCTACCCCATTACATAATTTCTTAAGCTGCCGTCGTCTTTAATATATTATCACCACTAATAATCTATATTGGAAAGAATGAAGGCAAGCAAGTTGATGTTCCTTATCTTTTAACTCTTTTTTTTAATGTTTTAACCGCATGCTTGGCGTCGTAATGTGTATGGGAGTTACAGCTGGAGCATATATTCTTACCCTCTTTGCGGTAATTGAACTATGTTGGCATAGTATGCTTATTTTTTCATTTCAAAACAAATATCACTCTCTTGAAATTGAAAATAATTATTTGTGCTTTCTTTTTCCCTTAATAGATGAAATACCGACAACTTGTCTTTTTGGGAACAAACATTGTTATATGTCAGAACATTTAATGGCATTTATGAATGACAGACGCTACTATTTTTGTGGCGTTTGTTTTAGTGACGCTTTTTGTGTCACAAAAAATTTAACGACGCTTAAAAAAGCCACTTTCTTTTTCCCTTAATAGATGAAATACCGACGACTGGTCTTTTTGAGAACAAACATTATTATATGTCAGAACATTTAATGGCGTTTATGAATGACAAACGTTACTACCTTTTGTGGCGTTTATTTTAATGACGCTTTTTACGTCACAAAAATTTAACGACGCTTAAAAACATCAATATAAAATTAAAAAATGCCCTAAAATCCTGTTTTTGTTGTAGTGTACGGGTGTTGACAAAGATGTGTTGGCCCCCAATTTGTTGCGTGAAAACCATATTACTCACACCATTGTGTCAGATGGGCCCCCTGTGAAGATTCTGGTGGTTAAGAGGTGTTGTCTCCTGGTATTTCTCATGATTTGTGGGTGTTGACAAAGATGTGTTGGCCCCCAATTTGTTGCGTGAAAACCATATTACTCACACCATTGTGTCAGATGGGCCCCCTGTGAAGATTCTGGTGGTTAAGAGGTGTTGTCTCCTGGTATTTCTCATGATTTGTGCTCCTCTCAAGATTGTTTGCCCAGTTTTTTACATGAAGTGGGTATTACTCCAGACAATTTAATTCAAGATTGTTTGCCCACTAGTTCTTTGCATAACGTGGGTACTACTCCAAACAATTTAATTGTTGGTCATCTTGATGAGGACGTGATGTATGGCCCCCTGTGTGCTCAACAGACTGCTCCAGGTGTGGTGTCACAAGTTAGTCCTTCTAGGAATTCGGATGGGTCTTCTTTTTCATCCAATCAACATCAATGATCACAAGAAGTAAATTGGGTGTTTTTAAACCACGGGTGTTTCATGCGATACAAATAAGAGCTACTGAAGTGAACCTGCTACAGTGCGACAAGCGTTGGCTTCACCCAACTAGAGGAAGGCGGCTCATGATGAATATGATGCTCTCATTCAAAATCGCATATGGAATTTAGTTCCATTACCTGCTGATCGTGTTCCCGTTGCATGTAAATGGCTATTTCGTGTTAAGAAACACTTGGATGGCTCAGTTGCTTAGTACAGGGCACATCTTGTTGCTAAAGGTTATTCTTAGATTCTAGGACATGACTTTTATGACACGTTCAGTCCGATTGTGAAGCCTTCCATTGTGAATATTGTTCTTTCTTTCGCTATTCAAAACAATTAAAAACTCCGTCAATTGATGTCAATAATGCATTTTTTAATGGTGATCTTGTTGAGGAGGTCTTTATGATTCAACCTCCAGGCTTTGAGAATGTTTCAGTGAATGGTGATAAACTTGTGTGCAATTCAGAGAAGGCTTTGTATTGGTTAAAACAGGCACCTAGGAATTGGTATTTTAAGCTTCGGTCGTTTTTGTTAAGTATAGGTTTACAGGGACCCAATCCGATGCTTCGTTGTTTATCCGTTGTGGAGGTAGTCATTCTTTGTATATTTTGGTATACGTTGATGATATTGTTATTACGGGAGATTCTAATGAGATGATTGAAGAGGTAGTAACGTATTACGGGAGATTCTAATGAGATGATTGAAGAGGTAGTAACGTCTCTTGGTTGCTAGTTCTCTTTAAAAGATCTTGGTGATTTAAGTTTTTTTTGGGCCTTGAGGTTGAACGACATGATGGGGTTTTACTTCTTAGTTAGCGGAAATATATACGTGAGATACTTTGAGCGGGCTGACATGGTGGGTGCTCAGTCGGTTCCTACTCCTATGGTTTCTTCTTCTAAAGTCACTCACGAGGCAGGTTGTATTCTTGATGATCTTCAACTCTATCAGAGAATAGTGGGTGTTCTTCTTTACTCAGGACACACGAGGGCGGATATTGCATATAGTGTTGGAATTGTTGCTCAATTTATACATCGTACTTGTGAGTTGCATTGGTTGGCGGTGAAATGTATTCTTCGATATTTGAGTGGTACTATGGACTATGGTTTAGTGTTTCGTGCTTCTTTGGGTGCTTTACTTTTACGTACATTTTTTTTGATGTTGATTAGACTAGTAGTTGATGATCGATGATCGATCTTTGGATATGGTGTTTACCTTAGTGATAATATTGTGTCGTGGTGTTCCCATAAACAAAAATCTCTATCTTGGTCAACTATTGAGGCTGAGTATCGTAGGGTTGTTAATGTTGTTTCTGAAGTCACTTAGGGTTGCTAATGTTGTTTCTGAAGTCACTTGGCTTTGTGCTTTTCTTGGTGATATGAGAGTTGTGTGTGCCAATGTTCTTGTTGTTTGGAGTGATAACACTAATGTCATTGCTATGAGTGCTAATCTAATTTTTCATTCTCGCTCCAACATTTCGTTCAGGAAAAAGTTACTGCTGGAGTCTTATCTGTTTGTTATGTGCCTAGTTCCCATCAACTAGCTGATTGTTTTACAAAACCTCTTACCAAGTCTCAGTTTCTCGGTTTTCGACAGAGACTTAATGTTATAGGCTGCCTGGGTTTTGATGTGTGATAAAGCACAGTGAATGATGGCATTTTATTCACGATCTTGCATGGAGAGTAAAATGCATGATATTTCGTGTGGTTTTGTGGGTGAGTTGTTGCAATTGGTGACGTGTACAATGTGTTATCAATCGATTGTTTGTCATTTTTTTTGTTATGATGATTTGTAGTTGGGGGAAAGGTCTTTTCCTTCTCCTTTATATGTTGGTTATTTACCTTTGAATAAATCAGAGTTCTTCCTACGTGAAAATACCGAAAGTGTGAAACGTTAAGAATACCATTTGGTTCACGAAATGTAAGATTATCAGTACGAATAAAAGATTATCAGAAAATAAAATTACTGGGAATATTATATTTTGTGTTTGGTTGATTTAGCAGGAATGTAAGATTATTGTATTTGGTTAAAGAAATAAAAGATTATTGAAATGTATATTTGATCAAATTATCTTTATTATACATATTTTTTTAAATAAGTTGGAAAATATTTATATATTTTCTTTAAAAAAATTAAATTCATAAAATTTATATATTTTTTTTACAAAATTAAAAATATAAAAAGGTTTAATGAAAGGGTAAAATTTTATTTTAATTCCTAAACTTCGTGGATTTTTTTTGGGTAAATTTGTCCTTATTCTGTCATTGAATAATAAAAAGTATACGAAGGTTAAATTACAAATTTATCCTTAAACTATTTTAGATTTACAAAAAAATCTATAATTAAAATTTTATATTAAGTTCAGGGATTAAAATAAAATTTTACCCTTTCATAAACCTTTTTATATTTTCAATTTTGTAAAAAAAATTATATAAATTTTATGAATTTAATTTTTTTTAAAGAAAATATATAAATATTTTCCAACTTGTTAAAAAATATATATATAATAAGGATAATTTGGTCAAATATACATTCCAATAATCTTTTATTCCTTTAACCAAATACAGTAATCTTTTATTCCCTGCTAAACCAACCAAACACAAAATACAACATTCCCAGTAATCCTATTCCTTGATAATCTTTTATTCTCACTGGTAATCTTACATTCCGTGAACTAAATGCACCCTTAGGGTCACCATAAAAATCAGATGACATATTTAAATATTATAAAAGTTTTGGATTAAGTTATTGAAATCGCCATTGATTATTAAAAATAATCTTTTTGATAGTATATAGTAATTATAAAGTAATATGTGTTTAAAAAATTATCAACAACACATTTTACAAACGTAATTCTCAAATTTAAAATCTTTAAAAGGAACAATATTCTCTTTAATGTATAATTTTATTTTATTATCGTTATGGTTCACCATTTCATATGTAATTGAATAAACTAAGATATATTAAAATTTTAAAAAATCAAATAAAATTATAAAATACAAAAAAATAGTTAAAATATAGAAAAAAAGTTAAAACTTTTTTTTATAAAACTCATTTTCAACTTTTTTGATTTACTTAATTCTAATTTTTAAAATTAATTAATCATAATTAAATTTTGAAAAAATAAGTTAAGAATATAAATTCTACAGATATAGTTTTTTAATATTTTTGTAATTTATTTTTATTTTTTGCATTTTAATTTTTGTAACCTTTTCTAATTACGATATATTTTGATTGAATGCCATTTTTTTTAAATAAAAATTAAATTTAATCTGAATCTTATGTAAATAGAGAGAAAGAAAGACTTTTAAAAAGAAACGATAATACTTTAATAAATTTAAAACTCATAAACTAACAAAATATAAGAGAATACAGATTCAACTAAAGATTAAAGTAAAGTACGGGAGGAATTAACTATTAAACCAAAAATACATGAGAAAAATATAGACGACATTGAAGTAGCCTGGATAAGAAAAGACGAAAAAATCCGACCAAATATAAAGTAGTGAGCCGACCTGCCGTTTTCTCACAATAAGTTGTTATTACGATATCAGATTACTGTCAAAAAAAAAGATAAAGCAATTAAAGTAGCGAGTACATGCACGTTTTTTCTTTAAAAATCACCCACCTCTTCACTCCCACCCAAAATCGCGGATATTAGTTCGTTGCCACCGAACTTGATCCCAATCCCGTCACACTACAAAATGAATTAATAAAAGAATTGAGAATTTATTTATTTAAAATTATAATTAAAGTGATTTCGGTGATAAAAAAATAATTGCTATTTTTTAAAGATTTAAGTTTGAGCACCATAAATAAATAATATTAAGTGTATAAATATTTATTATCAAAATATTAAGAGTTATTTTAAATAAATACAATCTTACTCTTATCTCATATTAATAAAAAAATATATACGCACAATGTTAAATAAACATGCTTACCTTTCATAAAAAATAATTACAGAACGTATTTCGCAATTTTTAAACCTGCATATATAAACGTGGGAAGCTGGTGACTTGAACATTCAGCGTATTTCTTTTTAATCCTAAATTAAATACTTAAACGGCATAACCGAAGAAATTAAATTAATAACACTAACCGGCTACGTGGATCGTCTTCCATTAAGGGAAGACATTTGTTAGTATTAATAAGTCCAATCATGGCTTGCTGCAAAAACACACCATGGCTCAGCACTGCTATCTCCTTCTCTTTCCTTGTCCACAACCTGCAACATTTCATAAAACTTCATTCCACATACTAAATGAAGAAACAAACTCTGACTCAAAAGTTTTAGAGCTAACCAATTGAAAAACTTCATTCCCCTGCCTAACACATCTTCTAGGGCTTCTCTTTCATTTGCTTTCCATAAATTGTCCGCTTCATTTTCGATCTGAACATTACACTATCGGTCAATCCTAATCAAAGTAGAAAAAACGAATTAACGAAGCAGATACGACTTGCCAATGAAAAATCAACTGCACTGAAACGAGACCGGTATTGGCTGATGCTTCTTCTCTTGTCACATTCATATTTTCCCTACATTCACATGTTTGCAAGCATTGATTTAATGAAAAACAATAAAGTGCATATGGTCGGATGTTTGCAGGCATATCAATCGTTCACGACACTGTTCAAATGCTATAATCGGTGGGCGGTTCGAAGCAGGTGTCTCGTCAATTATTCCATCTTCACCATGAAATATTCCTACTGCTGTTTGCAATTTCCTGCAATAATTCAACCCATCAAAACCATGACTATATGTTAATTTTGTAGAATATTTTGACTTTACAGGGACTGAATTTTGGTACTTTGACATCGGGGAAGTGATGACTACCTCAATTCCGTTAAGCAGGCCAATGGCACAAACATCTTTTCGTTTACAGCGTACCTGTTGAATACATATTCAACCATCAAAACCATGAATAATATTCCATTTTCACCTGTTGATTCTTATGGCTAAATGTGTAAATCACCTGTTTCCAGCCCTGAGAGGTGAGTTGAGCGTCGATAAACTCGAATGAAGTTAATGGATCTCGATTCCTGTCTGGTTCTAGATTGTGCAGTCCTTGTGCATGCCTCACCTGAACTTTCACATAAACACTAATTAGTTTCTTTCGATAACAGTTGCATAATTAAACACAGAAAATGTAAAGAAACTGAGGATAAACCAGATGAACCAGTTTATGAGGGACATACTGCTGGTATGAATATGGAGCTGATGAAATTGTTTCCATTTCTGCAAATCTGAGACCTTGTTGATGAAAATATATCAGAATCGAACAGGCTTTGCCATTGAAATCTAAACCCACCTGTTAATAAGAAAATAAACTTATGTAGAAGTATAAAATACTGCAGAAGAAGAGACCTTGTTGATGACTAAAAGACCAGAAGGAAAAATATGATTGTGTTTTTTAAGGGAAATCTCCCTGGTAAATGCACACAGAGATTGATAAACAAGTAACTACCAAAAGAAAAGTTAAGCGGTTTTAATTTTTTTTTCTCACCCTAAAACTTAAGTGGATCGAGTTCAATTCGAGGAAGTACATTCCTTTTGTTTACATGGAGGGCTGCTCACGAAGATCATAAGGGCATATACTCCGGGAGTGACTCACTAGCATGTGCGGAGGGCTACTCACGAAGGCACTAGCGACTCACTCCCACTTAGCAGGATTATAACACCCCCAACCCGTACCCGACCCGAATACGAATCCGAGGTGTCACATTAACTTTTCAAAACTTTGACTCTTTTAAAACTCATTGAAAATTTAAACTTTTACTTGTATTTAAGTGGTGAAACTCTTATAACAAAGTTACTATTGAAAATTCATAATTCACCATGAAAATAAATACTTGATAATTTATATAAATGTAAAATAGTATGATTACAAAACTGATCAGAGCATTACAATTTAAAACTTTATGATACATGCCAACAAAATTACGAAATAACAAGAAACCTTCAGTTCAAATTGTTCTGATATAATCTTCTTCAAACGTATGCTGTCATTTCCTAGCTTTATCGGATCTTTTTGAACCTACGTGTAAAACAATCACATGCTAAGTCGTTGACTTAGTGAGGCAATAAGGAGTGTCATAACACATTTGAAAACACTTGCATAAAGAAAACAAGGCACACTTCATAAAAACCATGTATACTATTACATATTGCTCAATTTATATCAATTTGTTTTATTAGCCCAACGCATATTATCGAGAACTCAAGGTATGTGAGTACATTGAGGTTGTGTACTATAATTGCAGTCACCACTTCTCATATAATTTGCATCGAAGTTCCACGTAGAATATACATCAAAGTACCACATAGATTTGTCCCGAAGGACCAGTGTAGAGTTTTTCCCAAATGACCACGTAAAAATTTATCCCGAAGGACCGCATAGAACCCTCGACTCTTGGCATGCCAACTATACCTCTAATTCTCATACATATACCTTGGGATTTAACCATATAATTATTTCATTTTACATTGCTCAAAGTATCCTTTACCCACATATAACATATTCACATAGCATATATCTGTGTATAACCTTTTCACATAAAACACATTCACATATCTCATATTCACATACTAATAAAAATCATAACAATGCTTCATAAATACAATTTATGTAAAACATTAAAAAAATATTGCATAAAATAAATAAAACTGTTTTCGATTGAAAACCTTCGAGGTTGGCTTATCGCAAGCCATCCTCATATCTACTATAAAGGAAATAAATTGCACTCAACTTTTCCTCACATAAGTCCTAAATGAAATCTTTTTTCTTTTGTTCAATCTCTTACTATGTTGATTTGTCCGATATACTTTTGATCCAAATCTACACATAGACATGTCCAATATCAATACCGAATTTCCATTAACAGGTAACCAATTAGAACTTACATAAACAGAACGAAAACTCTTAATTTAAATTTTCAGACTGAATAGTATCGGTACCCCTCGTACAATACCAATACTTCTCTTCTAAGGTACCAATACCCACTTCAGTATCGATACTAATTTGACATTCTGGAATTTTATTTTCAATTACAGTATCGATGCCTTACTCCTGGTATCGATACCTCGACATTAGTATCAATACTACTTCAATCAACATCGATATTGTTCATCCGATTCATACCATTTCTTTTAATTTAACCTTATAGAATCGATCCTATTCTTCCAGTACCATAACCTTACCCAGATTTCACTTATTTCATTTCGAATTTTTCCCACAATTCACCCAAATCTCATATTTTAAGCTCCAATCAAACCCTTAAACTTTCTAACATTTATCACCACCAACTTATATCCATTAATTACCTTTTAACAACCAAAATTCTCCATGGAACACTTAAGACTAAAAATCATACAAAATCTTCAAACATGTTCTTAATCATTTCTAAGACTTCAAATACCTTAATTAGACCCTTGACAAGTCAAATCTTTCTTTAGAATCTAATTACTAACCAAATTAATTCTATTCACTTAAAAACCCATTTTACTAATTCATCATTAATTCCTTAATCACTTAGTTTCTATTCATCTTTAAGCTTCCTTAATCTTCTATACCACTCAAAGCTTCAAAACCAACCCAAAATTTAAAGAAACAACCAACTTGAAAGTAACTCACCTTAACAATGGAGGTTTACGATGGAAGAGAAGAAGAAAAAAAGACGATAACCAAAGCTTCCAAATATTTATTCATTTGATAATAAGTCCTAGACACAAATTTCTAAAATCAATCCTTGAACTTTTTTAATTTATCAAGTTTAATCGCTTAATTTTAAATCTTTACAATTTAGTCACTGACCCGATGTTTGGGGTATTATAAATCTCCCCTTAAGAAAATTCATCCTCGAATTTTCATTGTACAAAGATATGAGGAAACTTTCTTCGCATGTCCTCTTTACGCTCCCATGTCGCCTCTTCCACTTTTTGATTTCTCCAAAGAACTTTAGCTAATAGAATCGTCTTGTTCTTTAGTTGTTTAACTTCATATGCTAAAATTTGCACTGGTTCTTCCTCATAGGTCATGTCAGATTGAAGTTCTATTTCTTCCGATGCTCTAATGTACGAAGGATCTAATCGATATCTTCTGAGCATTGAAACATGAAAGGCATTGTGGATCTTTTCCATTTCTGGTGGCAATGCTAAGTGATATGCTACTGGTCCCACTCTCTTTATAATTTCATATGGTTCAATGAATCTAGGACTGAGTTTTTCTTTTCGACCAGAATGAAGTACTTTCTTCCAAGGAGAGACTTTCAAAAATACTTTATCTCATACATGATACTCAATATCCTTTCTTTTTAAAGCCCCGTAGGTCTTTTGTCAATCAGTAACTATCTTAAGATTATCTTGAATAACCTTCACTTTTTCTTCTACTTCTTTGATCAACTCTGGCCCCACTAAGTCTTGATCTTTCAATTCAAACCAATTTAATGTTGTTCGATACTTTCTTCTTTATAAAGCTTTATAGGGCGTCATCTTGATACTCGATTCATAGCTATTGTTATAAGAAAACTCTGCAAGCAATATATACTTCTCCCACAATCCATGGAAATCAATAACACATGCTCTTAACATATATTCCAAAACCTGAATCGTCCGCTCCGATTGACCATCTGTTTGTGGGTGCAAAACCGTGCTAAAGTTCAATCGGGTACCCAAGAATCCATGTAAATACTTCCAAAACCTCGAAATGAACATTGGATCTCTGTCAGATACTATTGAAACTGGCACTCCATGAAGTCGAACTATCTCCTTGAGGTATAATTCTGCACACTTATCTATTGAAAAACTAATTCTAACAGGAATAAAATGCGCGGTCTTTGTTAAACGATCCACAATTACCTAAATTGAGTCCTTTTTATTTGGTGTCAAAGGTAAACCCGTTACGAAATCCATCGTAACTCTTTCCCATTTCTATTGAGGAATAGAGATTGGTTGTAAAAGTCCTGAAGGCACTTGATGTTCAGCTTTCACTTGTTGTCAGGTAAGACACTTTGCAACAAACTCTGTAATTTCTCTTTTCATGCCTGGCCACCAATATCACCCTTTTAAATCTTGATACATCTTGTTTCTTGCTTCAGAAAGTATAACACTCCTCAACTCTTCATCATTTTGAACATAAACTCGGTCTCTGTAATATAAACATCCATCTGACTTTACTTCAAAGTCTTTGTTTTCACCTTTTTCTACTTGTTTGAATAGTGTTAAACACTTATCATCTCTCTTTTGCGACTCTTTTATTCACTCAAAAATAGAGGTCTTAGATTTAATTCGGCCATCAGAACACCATTGTCCATTAATACAATACGGGCGTCTAATATACATAAAGTTGTAAAATTCTTTCGACTAAGAGCATCATGTAATACCCCAAATATCAGATTAGTGACCTTATTAAAAAAATTAAAAATTTGAAGACTTATTTGAATAATGATAAAAATATAAGAAATGATTGGAATAATGTTTCAGACCAATTTGTAACCGTGAATGAATATAGAGGGTATTTTGGTTCTTCAAGGAGAATTGAATTTAAAATTCATTCCTTATTAGGGATTTAAGGAAAAAAGGGGAAAATAAAGTCAACATAGTTATCTCATTTCTTTTTCTTCCTCGTGTAAGGACAAGCCTCCATAGCTAAAGGTAAGATTTCATTTAGCTAGATTTTCCTTTCGTTTTTGGTTGGGTTTTGAAGCATTGAGCATTATAGAGGCTTAAGGAAGGGCTAAATAAGATTAAAACTAAGAGATGGAGGAAATATTTGGATTTAAGAAAATGGGTTTTGGAATGATATGTTAAGATATAAGTTTTTATTGATGTTTACTGGTAAAATTAACTTGTCAAAGAAGTAAATGAGAGATTAGAAACATTGGGTGGGTTTAAAAACATATTAGAAAAAGTGGTGTGATTCTTAGATTGAAATGTTCTTTGGAGATTTTAGATGTTTAAAGAAGCTAAAGGAAGGAAAGTTAGTAGGAATAAGTAAAGAAAAGTTTTATAGTTTTGTTGGGTGTAAAAATAAGGAAAGTTGACCAAATTTGGGTAAGTATCGGGTTGAAAAATGGAAAATATGGGTAAGGGTATCGTACTGATAGAACAGTACTGATACTATAGGCTTAAAATTGGAAGAAATCAGCTGACAGTATCGAATACTGATGCAATTAGTATCGATACTGAGAGAGGTATCGATACTATAGAGAAAATATCGATACTATTAGTTACATAATGTAGAATGGTA